GATTCATAAACTCTTGCTTCATCTGTCGGATGAACTTATCTCCTATGTATTTGTGCTTGAATTCTTCTAAGAACAAGGACCAAGTTACTTGATCACCAGACATTCTCAATGTAATATTAGTTCACCAGATTCTCGCTTGCCCACGAAGCAAGGAGACCACTCCATCTAACTTCTCTACATCAGAACAATGGAGTCCTTTTAATATAATCTTTATATCATTGAGCCAAAGGTCCATACCAACAGGACCTTCCTCGGCTTCACCTTTGAATTCAGGAGCTCCTAATCCCTTCAACTCCTTTGCTATATTTTTTCTTTGAGTTAAAGTAGTAAGAGGTTGAAAACGCGTCAATACCGCGTCCAACGTTCTAAAGAATACATCTTGATCAACTACAGCCACTCAAGAAGGTGTATGTTCTTCACCTTGCCTGGCCAGGGCAGGTGAATTGCTGCTCTCAGCGGGTCTATCGTCTCCCGCTTCACTTCTAGAACTATCATGTTCGGACATCTATAAAAACATAACCATATCATTCTATTAGCAAAACAACACACTTACTATTCTCATCAGATCAGAAGTTTTCACATTTATGTTGGCATATATACTTATAAAGACACTCTAGACTTCGATTTATGCCTAGAATCGACTAAACCTTAGCTCTGATACCATTAAATGTAACACTTCCAACTCGTACCCGACTCGAATACGAATCCGATGTGTCACATTAACTTTTCAAACTTTGACTCTTAAAGAAAATCAGGGAAATTTTAAACTTTCATTAAAATAAAAGTTGTTCACTTACAGAAGTTGACCAAAATACTGCAAAATAGATCAGAGCATTCGTAATTAACAACTTATTACATGCCAACACACTATATACAACAAAACATATACTTTGCCAATTACTTCTGATCTTATCTTCTAGTAAGGTATAATGCCACCACGACTAGTTCTGATCATCTTGCTTCTTAGTACCTACGTGTAAATCACTTACACGCTAAGTCACAGACTTAGTGAGGCATAAAATAAAATATATATAACGATGCATTCATGAAACATGCATTCTCACCATTCGATCGTAACATTACAACTTGCATGCGTGTAATACACTATGCCATATATGATCATGCCATGTATATAAGAAACTTATCCTTTGTGCGAGTTTCAATTAAATTTATCTTTGAATTGCCCATGTAAATTATTGAGAACAAAATGTATGTGAGTACACTGAGGTTGTGCACAAATGTTGTCACCACATCTCGAATAATTCCCACTAGGAGCACTTAATATTTGTCCCGAAAAGCCACTGATAATCCCTCGACTCTTGGCATGCCAATTATTCCTACAGTTCTCATATTAAATAACATGGGCTTAAATATGGATACATTCACTTTTTCTTATCTCTGTTATCACTTCTCATATAAACACATCATTCACTTCACATGTACACATATTATCACTTTATCTTTTCGTATATCACTTAGCATTATCCGTTGATAATACTATTCGTTACACATAATGTCATATCAAAGCATGGATGAATTATGCATGTAATCACTATAAACAATATTATATATATATATATATATATATATATATGCATATACATGAATAGGAAATCATGAATTCAACGATAAGAAATAGACTTATCACAAGTCTTGTCTCCATAAAACTTGATCTAAAATATGCACTCACCTTAACCTTGCTTGATTTGAATTGATTCTAGAACTTATCTCATTCTCGATCATTTCTAATCCCTCGATCGTTCCGGAACAAAGTTACGTTCACTATCTACATAATTATACATTTATACATATCAATAATCTAATTGTATACTCTAATCTTCCAATTCTTAAACTAAAGGAAAGGTAATTTCCATTCTCATTTATAATAGGTATCGATACCCCCCATAGGGTATCGGTACCCCTACAGCAATATGGAATTTTCATCTTAAGGTGGGGTATCGATACCCCCTATAGGGTATCGATACCCTTATTGCATTCTGTTATTTTTCGTTCAAGGTGGGGTATAGATACACCTTCATAGGGTACCAATACCCTCTGCCCAGAAATTACATTTCAAGCATGAAAATTCATTCATTTCTGCTCAAACACTTCATATTTCATTCTTTTACATATACTTAACTCATCTACTCATACTTAAACTCATTCAATACATCATTAACTTCAAAATCCACTCCTCAACATAGAATTCAAGAATCATACTCAAATTTCAATATGTTCTGAATCCAATTCTAACACTTCATATTCTTTAATTAGAATGATGACAAGTCAAATCTCACTTCCAATTCTAATTATGAACTTTACTTCAAGATTTCATTTAAGAACCCCTAATCTTTAATCTCTCCTATACCTTTCATCTTGATGTTTTAGAACAAATTAAGCTTTCCTTAAGCTTAATTAACACTCAAAGAATCAAAACCCTCTTTAAAATTCCATAAATTAACCATAAAAATCCAACTTAACTTTGTAGCCAAAGCCACCATGAAGAAGAGGAAAACAAGGAGAAGAAGAGAGTTTCAAAACAACTCTTTCCCCACATGCTATCTCTTTAAATAGGGAGATAAAAATATCTTTTAAGCTAAATTACCATGCTACCCTTTTAATTCTTTCATATTTAGCACTTAATCCAATACTGAAATATTCCTATTGAAATCACCAAATTCTGAAACTTTACAATTTAGTCACTAACCCGTAGTTTGGGATGTTACAATCCATACGTCACTCGGTATCGCAAAGCCAATCTTCAGCCTCAGTCGGAGCTCCACATGACTTAAAATTTGGGGTGTGACAGTTTGATTTGGTGGGTTGCAATTTCTTTGAGTCACACAACACTCTCGAAAACTTAGGCATTTAGGATCTCTATATGCTCTTATCGACCCCTTCAACTAAGTTTTCTTTTCCAATTGATAAAACCTTTCTATATTGTTGCAAATTTCAAGTTTCTTTACCATGAATTCTGCTAGGTTTTCATCATCAATATTTGCAGTTGATTATTTTCATTCTTTGCAACGTGCATTAGATTTATTTATGCGACGCGTTTTGAAGGTTACATTGCATGAATGAATTATTCTTTCAGTATTGGTCCTCAATTCTCATACATCTTCTCCACCTTAGATACGCTGCCTGTTGCCATACTCGACTTCCAATTACTCAAGGTAATTCTTTCACTCACTTGGTTACTGGTTTTGGTGTAGGCAAATTGATGCTCTTATATTCGGATAATTAACGATTCTAAATACATATTATCTTATAATTATTTCCAACTATTCAAATATGTAAATATAAAGATGAATTGACATGAAGGCTAAATGCAATGCATGTATTGAAGTGGGGGACATTCTCCATGGTTTCTACGGCAGCAATTATTGAATTCAACGAAATACGAGTGGGGGATGTCTCGTCCTTCTTTGTCTTCTTTAAGCTTTTAGTCAAGTGTTTTTGTTTTCTTCTTCAATTCCAAACACACTTGGTTTCAGATAAAAAGATTCCGATGTGGGCGACGAATATTACGTTTGTGTTCTCACTACTTGTATAATGATAAATCAAATTTTATGTCATCGCAAATTTTGTAAAATTTAAATTACTGGTGTACCTTCCCCCCAAAATAATAATAATGTGGATATAACCCGACTTTATATTTAGGATTTATTTTGAAAAATAATTCTTATAGATATTTTATGGAAGATTTATATTAATGTATATAAATTTATATTTATAGTGTATAATAATTATATATTATTACATTATAATGTGGATAAAAAATATTCTGTAAAATATTCTTTTACAAATACCAGTAAAGAAATTATTATTATTCCTTGAGGTTTCGGATTCGAGTACCATAAATATTTGGGAAGTGAGCGTTCAGATATTATCTTGTAATTATCTCAGATTAATGAAAAAATAATCGTCGGAAGAAAAAAATCAGACTTTATCAACCAATAAAAAGTTAGGATTGGTTGATGACTCAGTTTCAACACTTGGTCCAACCTCAACTGAGTTGTTTAATGCATGGATAAGGACTAATAATTTTATAAACTCTCGGATTTTGAATTTATCTCTAGAGCTATTGTTGTCTAGGAATTACAATTTTATTCGGATTTAATGGGTTCCCATTCGATTTGATCTGGTCGAATTGATTTTTTATTTTAAAAATTTAGATTAGAATTAGATTTTTTCTTAAGATTTTTTTATAACATAACATTATAGTTATATATATATATTCAGGTTGGATTAGATATAAGTTTATCGAGTCAAATGTAGACGGAGAACTTTAATTTTCAGGTCGATTAAAATGGATTAAAAATTCGATTTAACCCAACCCATTATCATCCTTATTGTTGCCCGCCTTTTATACCTTTCATGTGTTGATGAAATCAAGACACATATTAAGAGTAAGTTTCAACAATGAAATGATCCGTAAATCTTTTAATTGAAAAAAAAAATTAAAACAAAATCAGATATCAATAAATACATATTACATACAACTTAAAACAACGAGGTATGAACTACTTTTCACCGAGTCAATTTATACTTATTTGCAGTGTACATGTGGTGATGCTCGAAACATGTTGAAAGAGAAATAAAACAAGCAACGTATTCTTTAGAGGAACTTATTAATGATTTTTGTGAACCAAACCGAGCTGGATAGGGCCTGCTTGTAACCCGAGTGGGTCGATAAGATGATAGGACTGTGGTTTGTGTGGCTCAGTGAGTCGGGTCCATGATGGCTTGTCTCTGGCCTGCCTGTTCCAAGCCATGAGTTGAGCCATGGGCCTTGTGCGAAGGCTCTGGGTCTCATGGCTCCTAAGGATAAAGCCTCAGGGTCGCTATCACATGACGACGTGGCCATGACGGCCGACTGCCACGCGGTCGCCGACAATCCATCTAATCATAATCCAAAAAGTCCACATTTTCTCTATTCAAATCAAACCACGAGTAACAGGTTGGTTTAAATGTCCACGCCAGGCTTTTCAATAAAATTTCAAAACGTTGAAACCCAGGCCCAACCAGAGCCAGCGCCACCGCCAGAAAATGTCCGCGCTCCAATTCCAACCTCCATTCCAATCCCATCTCAGCCTTGCTTCCTCCACTTCCCGCGTTCTCAGTCCTGGACGGAACTTTACCCTCCCGCGTCAGCTTCCTTCTCGTCGTCCACCTCTCCGCACCTCTTTCTCGCGGTACCCAAGAGCTTTCTCCGATGACCCCGCCGCCGTTTCCGATAAGCCTTCGATTTGTACCGCCGACGAGCTCCACTATGTGTCTATACCTAATTCTGATTGGCGCCTTGCCCTTTGGCGCTATCACCCTCCTCCTCAGGTTTTTTTTTCCTTCTCTTTGACTTTGCAGGAATTTTTATTAATATTATTTTTCTTTCTTTCTTTCAATAGTGCTATCTTTGTGAACACGAGTGTGAGGATCTGATGTATGTTATCTAAATGGATAGAAAAAACGTATAAATTGATTGAGATTATAATGCTATGTTTGGGAACGTGAATGATTGAATGTGAAGGTTTGGGATGTGTTATCTTAATATGAGATAAAGATTCTTGAGATTGATTGTATATTTGAAAGGTATAAAAACATGAACTTCAATTTAATACTAAAAAGACATCCAACATCCAATGAATTTGTGATTTGATCGTGAATATTACATTCATATGTTCAGTTTAAAGTTTTAACGATTTTTGAAATAGAAACATATATTCTGCTGCCTAATTCTGTTTACTTATAGATAGATGAAATGATTTCCTTTTTAACAGGCTCCCCCTAGAAATCACCCTCTGTTATTATTATCTGGACTGGGGACTAATGCCATTGGATATGATCTTTCTCCTGAGGTAAATACCGTTCTGCTTTTAATTTTATGCTAATTTCCTTCATCAATCTTATGTGTTTTTGTGTTGAAATAGTAAAACATTAGCACCCCCTCCTCCCCCCCTCCAAAAAAAAAATAGTATGGAGAAAAAAGTTGGTTAATACTGATTCTTTTTTGTTAAAACAAGCATTGAAATGTTTGGTACCGTTCTTCTTCATGTGGTTGTAAACTGTAACGTACAAAATATAAGTGGAAAACAGTTCTAATTCTATCATTAACTCATAATTTTTAGTTGGTTTCAGAAAAAAATCGTAATTTTTAGTTGTAATTTGGGATAAGAATGCATCATACATGTTAAATCATAAACAGGAATCTTCAATAATTTGCTTTTTTATTTCAGAAGGAACTTTTTATTAATAAAAAGAGTCATCTTCTTGTATCGTGAAGTAGGGTTCACTATTTTATTTCCTTCAATTTTTGTATGCTTCTTTTGCTTTTATTATGGATCCTGAACTTTTTTTCTTCTCTTGGGTTCTATAGGTTTTATTCAACATGATATTTTTTTTGCTGTGTTTGCTGATGGATTGGCCAGGAGTAATGGACATTTTATCTTTGGCGTGTAATTAATACAACCCCAAACTTGTTCAGTTTGGGGATATCTATATTCCTCTGATGCTTCGTAGAAACCAAAATCTAATGAGCCCTGGAAGACCATTTAGTTTTACCATGTTGTAGGTTATTAGTGGCCAATATTATAATCACATAGTAAATCATCACTTTTGTTTACCCAAATGATTGCGCTACCTGGGAGATGTAATTTCTAAGCCTGAGACCCTGAGTTTGAACCATGATAAGCCATTAGGAAAATATTGTTGACCCATGCTTAATGAGAAACTCATACTTGACAGTTCAATCAATATGGACCCTTGCATCAACAGTCATCACCTGTTGATTTCATTAGAAAACCTATATGCATGTGTTTGGCAATTTGCACAGATGGTCTTGTTGGGTGCCTTTTGTTCTGCCTCGCCTTTGTGGCTTCATTATCTGAATGCCTATATTCATGGTCAAATAAACGATGTTGCCAACTTCTTTATACAGCTTCCAAGATGCTAAATATTATTTCCTTCTCTTTTACTTATAAATATAATCCTTTCCTGATAAATTTGATATGCATCTGCAGTCTTCATTTGCGAGATATATGTCTAGCCAAGGATTTGACACATGGATTCTTGAATTTCGTGGTGCCGGGCTGAGTGTGCAGACATCAAACTTCAAAGACATTAAGGATGCTGATCTATCATCTAATCAGATGGTAGCCATGGCTCAGAGTGTGGCAAATGGAGCTTCCCCTCAGAAACAGCCAACTGATGTTTCTGGTTACATATTTGATTCTGAGTTTTATTTCCTTAGAGAAGATTCAATAGGGATTGGAACGGCATGGGATGAAGCAAAATTGGTTGCAGAGTTGACAGAAATTTTCATGCGTTTGTCTGAGGGACTTTCTGGCTTTCTCAGCGAAGGTCAATCAAGACTTATCTCGACTAAATTATTAGATCAGATATCAAAAATTTTGGAGGATTCTCAATTATCTGAACGCTTTGAGGAGATAAGGATGAAGCTTTCCAACTTATTGGGAGAACAACAGAACTCAGGTATTGCTAGCCAAATTAGAGATCTGAGTCAAAGACTAGTAAATATTATTGAGGGAGGCCAACAATCTGTTTCACCCCAGTTCATTGATATTCAAGAGAGGCTTTCTTCAACAATAGAAGACTTTCAGAAACAACTTGACCTGATTGTGAAATACGATTGGGATTTTGATCACTATCTGGAGGAGGATGTTCCTGCTGCGGTAAGGTTACATTTTGCAAATGCCTACTCATTTTTATTTTATTAATTATAATGTATCAATTGTGTTTATTATTTTTCATTTTGCATACTATTCACATCTGTCTCTAGGTTGAATTGACAATTTTCATTCACCTTAATATAGATGGAATACATAAGGGAACGGACAAAGCCTAAGGACGGAAAACTGCTTGCAATTGGTCACTCAATGGGAGGAATATTGCTTTATGCAATGCTGTCACGGTGTGGTAAGATACTATCATTTGAAATATATGCCATATTGTAATTTTTCCATGCGTAAATTCTAATGCCTAAAGGCAATTCTGGATTATCCCTCAATTAGCTGAACTACACTTTGAAAAATCCCATAGGAGAAAATATTGTGGATGAAGTTGTCTCCCTCTAAACTTTAAACTAACAATTTATCAGCTAAAATACTAACCTGTTATATTTGAAGTAGAAGAAACAAGATATATGTTGAGGATTGACAAATTCTTTGTGCATCATCACCTATTTAATATACAATTAAAATAATAGCAGTTAAAATCCCGAGTGTTCATATTGAAGTGTCACAGCTACAGTATGTTTACTCTCAATCTTTCATATTGAAGTGCTGCTGCATAAACATTGTACAAAAACAATTACAGACAGCAGCGAGCCAGTATATAAATTTTGATACATTCTGAAGAAACTTGACATGCTTGTTCAAATACCATTCATCAATATTAGTTTGTAATGTGCTTCTGTTTAGCTTACTTTCTTTTCTTTCTCATGTTGATAAAAATCATATTGCTTGTACGTTTCATGTCATTTTGTAAGGTTCTGAAGGGAGGGAACCTGGATTAAATGCTGTTGCAACTATGGCATCAGCACTTGATTACCGATCTTCAAAGCCACTCAAAGTACTCTTACCTCTTGTAAGTGCATGAGTTAGTTTCATACTCGTTAATTGCTATGTTGATGTGATTTTGGTGACTACCTACTTAAAAGTTCCATAGATTTAGATTCCCTGAGAAAGTAACCTCATGGCACTGATTCTGCAGGCAGATCCTGCACAAGCACTTAATGTCCCTGCTGTTCCATTCGGATCGTTACTGGCAGCTGCTTATCCACTAGCATCTCGTCCTCCTTACGTCTTGGGTTGGCTTAATAGCCTAATATCAGCGGAGGACATGATGCATCCAGAGTTGCTAGAAAAGCTCGTCTTAAATAACTTCTGTAAGTATGGGTATATATTGTCTTCAGATTATGTGAAATTCATGGCATTCTTATTGTAAATGGTTTTGTCTAGGGTGCAAGGCGTTTTCTAGGCACTAGAACACTTATATTGTCTAAGGTGCAAGCTGCAAAAAAAACATTTTACTGAGTGGAGGTGCAATATACTTGTTTGTGTATCTCTCTATATAATAATACTAAGCTTAATATATGATTATGATAATAAACTTTAAAGAGTGGTCGAGTTTATCCTATAAAACATACTAAATTCTCTTATTTTGTTGGCCAATATGCATGATTTCCTTGTGGTCTCAAGTCTGTTTTTGAATAGTTATTGAGTAGTTGAGAGTTTGATGTTATCCCCTTTTTACTAATAATGGTACAATTAATAAAAGAGGGAGCAGAGAATTTCAATCGAACTGCTTCTTTCTTATTCTTATTGCCTTACAAAAAAGCATGCCTAAGGGCACGCCCCTCACTTGGAAGGGTCTACCGTGTTTTGTGGTTTGGCACAAAGGTACAATGGCTAGGTAATGAACATCTAGGGTACACTGTTAATGTCCGAAAAAAGTAATAATTTGATATTCACACATATTTATACCTTGAGATTTTTGTTATCGATTTTCTCGCCAGAGTTTTTTTTCTGAATATAATCTCTAGTTGCTCTATTTTCGAATTTATCAAATTTCTGTGTTCATTCTCTTGTATATTTTACTTGCATAACATCTATTATCATTTCCAGGTACCATACCAACCAAGCTTATTTTTCAGCTCACATCAGCTTTCGGAGAGAAGGGGTTATGCGATAGGAGTGGTAAATTTTTCTACAGGGATCATCTAAATAAATGCAGTGTCCCCGTCCTGGCTATTGCAGGGGATCAAGATCTGATTTGCCCACCCGAGGCTGTAGAGGGTAGGTGTTAATTTGTGGTTAGTTAAATACACGTAATCTCATATGGTTTTCATCTATACTTATATTTCCCCCCTTTATTTATAAAACCAGAAACTGTGAAGTTTTTCCCGGGGAATTTGGCAACCTATAAAATATTTGGAGAACATCACGGTCCCCATTATGCACATTATGATTTGGTGGGAGGACGACTGGTAAGTATTACTGACATAAAATAGGGTAAATTTACATTTTAGGTAATTGAAATAAGTATAAACTTTCATTTAGGTCACAAATATTTAATTTCATGTAATTTCATTTACTAACATCTATTATTAATAAACTGTCGCTTGCATAATTCTAAGAAAAAAGTTATATCAGCATGCTTACTTGATTTATCTTTTAATTCTCATCAAGATGCTGCCTAAAAGATTTACTCTGTATGCATATGGTACTTTTTTTTTTTGGCCGGCAAAACTGTTTATTTTCCATTCTAAATTGCAATATATATATATATATTAAACCTAAAATGTTGGTTATACCTAATTATATAGAAGTTCAGAGATCTAAACAAAATTAGAAGTCTGTGACCTATAGAAATTCGATGTTGATTCGGAATTTAGACTACCCAAAAATAATTTGACAGGCTATTTGATTGTTGTTTGAGTGATGCATGTTTAATGTTTCTAAAATTTGTTCAAACTGCAGGCGATGGAGCAAGTTTACCCATGTATTGTCCAGTTTCTTAGTCATTATGATTGAACATCTTTACAAAAGCTTGTGGGAGGTAACCATTCATTTTTTCCCCAATGGTGTATAATCATGATCTCCTTTGTTGGTGATCTTGGCAGCATCAAATATGCTTGTTGCCAGTCACGGTTTATTTTTATGTGATCGGGTGGAGAGATTGTAAATGAAACAATTGATTTCTCGGATTCGGGTTTGACTTTCGGATATGATATAACTCAGTTATAGATATGTTTACCTTTTTTATTTGGAAGATCCTTAAAGGGTCATATATCCTAAGTTCATGTCCAAACATGTGCTGGACACAAATGTTCAGTACAGGTAATTTGGGGGGAAAATGAATGGTTTGATCTTCAAAATCCAGAACCGAACATATAGTAATGTTTTGCAATAGGTCCTCTGTTGTATTGTTTATGTAAAATTATGAGCATGGGAACTGTAATATTGACACGTGTGTTGTTTTTGGAAAAGTCTTGTATTTCAACTGTTATCATTGTCATATTTTAGTTACTGTTGTCACGTGGTATTCAAAATTATCGGAAAACACCCCTTCTGGGGGAAAGGGAAGATGAGATGAGAGACTCAGAAATGTCTGGTTGAAGAGGAGCAGGAGTGTTAATTGAAAGCGGCTACTTGTCTATCAACCTTATCCAGCACCAGATTTTACCTTGGATGATATGCCTCAAGCTCTGCTCTTGGAGGAATGGACAGCCTGCAAAACAAGAGCAGTGCTTGTGAAAAGGAATCACCCTATTTTCTGTTCATGTATTTACTTTTATGAAAAAGACAACAAATAATACATACATACATACATATATATATATATATATATATATATATATAAAAAGAAAATTCCATTTCATCTCTCCAGTTTTCTAGCAGGTGAAAAGCTGAGGCATTGTAGCGATTGTTGGGTAGCAGAATCCAACCAAACTTTTGTTAAAATCACTTCAGCCATCCCTTGTTCTTCTGGTTTTTAGTATCTTTTCATGTTGCTTGTATCAGAATCAGACCAACACCAGAACAGGATAAGCTTTCATCAATCATTGGTTATGGAAAGGCCTTCCTTGTCTTCCCTAACTGCTCAATTGTGGTCACTCCATTTCTGATATGCAATTTCAGTTATACATTCCCCAATCCGATGCGTTTGTACTCCGTTTATATATTTTTTGTGTTAAAATCGTGATTATTACATAATTTTTTATCTTAGTTGTTGCTTCCACGTTTGTTGTTTTCAGGGGTGTTTGGCTACTATATAAATAACCCTTGCGTTGGTCATGTCAAAGCAGATCAATTAACGTGACTTTGCTACCTATTCAAAACAATGGATTCCAATGCTTCAGGGTTTTTTTCTAAACAAATCGATTCTCCACTCGATTTACTATCAAAACAATGAAGAAAACGGTATGATCGATCTTGGTCTTAGTCTCAGAACTTTACAACCTCAACCTTACCATCCATCTACACATTGTAAGTCTGCCTTCCGTTTCCTTTTCTTTATAGCTGTTTGATTAAATTCTCGAATTCGATGAGCAGATTAAACTGATTGATGATGATTTGTTGTACTATATCATTCAATCAAGAGTTTTACTAAACCAGTTGAATTGGACAAAGCTACAAACTTTGTTTTAGGTGATATCATTGGTTTACATTCAGTTCCATCTTCCAAACATTGTTTGCAATGTTTTAATTCAAACTCTCGAGGCAGTGGTAAGCTTGGAAGCTGGATATGGCGACCTGATAAGTTGGCCCGGCCAGGCCAGGCCAGGCGAGTTCATCACACCGAAAAATCTCGAACGCTGGATATTCTGAGCTTGCTTCTAAAGACCGTGACGATGAAGCAGAAGGGGTTCAGAGCAAGGAGAGGTGGGCTTATGTAAAGGTTAACATGGATGGGGTTATGGTCGGTCGCAAAGTTTGCATGCTTGATCAGGGTGGTTACTTAGGCCTTGCACGTCAACTCGAAGATATGTTCGGCAAGTTCGAATCAATTTGAAGAGCTGAGAAACAAATAAGATTAAAATACATTTAACTGTTATCCAAACCAAAATCGAACTATTAACATTGTTAAGATTATGGTTCCAAGGGAGACATACAGCTTCAGGGTTAACGTTGTTTGAATTCGAGTCTGAATTTTTGTTGCTCTACAATGACAACATGGAGGATAATTGGAAGAATGCCGGCGATGTTCCCTGGAAGTAAGCTCGTAACTATCTGCTATTACTATTATCCGGGAATTCAGTTTGGTTGGGATCGGAAGAGGAAATCGAGTTGATCTAATATTTTTTTCTGCTTGGATTTTAATTCAGGGAGTTTGCAGAACGAGTAAAACGGCTGCGTATTAGCCGAAAGAACGAAGCTGTTTATCATCCTTGTTCGTCATTATTCAACTAATTCTTCAGATTATTAATTTCTCAAGATTGTAACTCTGGGTAGCTGTGTGCTCGTTTCATAGTTTAGCTTACCATGGAGCTGGTTCTTATTTCGAATATCGGACATAAGTATAAGAAAATCTACTAAAAGAATTTCGAGGAACATAATAGAAAAACAAACGAATACAATTATTCGTTCCTGTCACAGAAAAGGAATCCAACAGGAACAAACATTTTTTTCGAGCATGATTGTATCGTTACAATGGTACGTACGGGCAAATAGTTTCCGATTGAATCGGAACTAATCACAATTTCGAAACCATGCCTAGTATCTCCCTTGATTTTAATTGATTTCTTAGTCAGTTGGTATGCATGTAAATGAACTAAACGTTCAGTGAATCGTTCATGAACTGTGCGGCGAGAAGTTTGTTTATGTTCGTTTATTTATTAAATGAACGAACATGAACAAGATTTTGCGTTCGTTTAATTAAATAAACGAACATGAACAAAGGGCTCGTTCGTTCATTTACGTTCGTGAACGTTCGATTATATGTTCGTTTATGTTCGTTCATTTATGTTCGAACATAGGGCAAGTTGAATATGTTACGAAGATTATTGAAGTTGTTTGGATTTCAAGAATATTGTTTTGTTGAACAAATTAACTTTAATACTTTATTATGTTCATATAGCTTATTTATGATTTATGTGTTTTTTTATCGTATTCGAATAAATTAACTTTAAAGTTGCATGTTATATTAATGAATTTTAAGTTGTTATTCTTGTTGTTTACTTTTTTTTTATATTCGTTTGTTGTGTTCGAATAAGTTTTTTTGTGTGTTTATGTTCGTTTATTGTGTTCGTTTATGTTTGTTCGTTCGTGTTCGTTTATTTATTTAAATGAACGAATATGAACAAGCTATATTCCTTAATGAACGAACATGAACAAAAAAATGTTCGTTTATGTTCGTGTTCGTTTATTTATTAAATGAACGAACATGAACATATATCCGTTCGTGTGCGTTCGGTTCGTTTACAGGCCTATCAGTTGGTATGGTCAACCTTTCCAAGCATCGAAAACGTGCATAGTGAAGCCAACAATCAGTTATCGGTTGATCCAGTATGATAAAACATTAAATCTTTTAAGCAATATTAAAAATTTAAATACCGACGTTTTTTAATAGAACAAATGGGATATGAGAGAGTTGTCCCATAATGGATTTATGTGAAACATAATTTAAAATAATTGAACAATAGATAAAAAGAAGAGAAAATAACCTCAGTGACAAAAAATGCCTTATACTATATATGATTTTAACCAACTTTTTTTAGATTTGCCAAAATGACAAACTAAATCGCAATGCGATCGATAATTCGCAACGCGATCTTCGGTATCACAAATCAGTTTCCAGATTCGCAACGTGAACTTCGACTATCGTAACGCGAACTTCGACTATCGCTTTGCGATTTACATATTCGCATTACGATAGTCCAAGTTCGCATTGCGATAGTCGAATCGCAAACTTCGACTATCGCATTGCGATTTACATATTCGCATTGCGATAGTCTAAGTTCGCGTTGCGATAGTCCAAGTTCGCGCGTTGCGATTTATTCCAAATTCGTTGCGATAGTCGAAGTTCACGTTGCGAATCTGGAAACTGATTTGCGATACCGGAGATCGCGTTGCGAATTATCGATCGCATTACGATTTAGTTGGTCATTTTAGCAAATCCAAAAAAATTTAATTAAAATCATATATTATAAGACATTTTTTGTAACTGAAGTTATTTTCTCAAAAAGAAACTACGGCATCTTCTAATAAAGTACTCTCGTTTTCATTTTTTTTTTTTAATTTTACGTCGATGATAAAGGTCCAAGTATTTCCTCAACTTAAACTCTATTTTTTAAATTTAATATTTGTTTAAATTCTTCTAAATATAGAATAAGTCTTGGATTTCGATAAATAGTTTAATCTTTAGATAAAATTGCTCATTTTTATTTTTTAATAGTGATTATAAAATAATATTTATTTAAAATCTTTTAATTATTAATAACGTATATAAATCTTGTAAATATAACTACTCAAATATAAATATTTAAAAAAAATAATATTTACTTTCACTACTATAATTATTTAATAAATTCTAAATAAAACAGAACAATTTAATCTTTGTATATTTTTCTTAGGAACTGCGTCCCCAGACACAATGAAGGAAATGCTTCGATAGGATGAATATATCATTTATAATTAATATGAAGTTTTAAATTTAATTAAGAAAAATAAACACCTTGTCTTATTAATAGCCTGTAAAAAAAAAAATCTAATGAAAAACGAGAGTAATTTCTTGTGTCATCTCCCTCCCACACAACAAACAGCCAGATTTTTTTTAAAGAAAAAGAAAAATAAAAAAGAGAGCAGAAAAACAAAGGGGGAGGGGAAATTTCATCATTCAACTCGGGATTTTACGGACATTTGAAATTTCAAAACCCTAGCTCCCTCAATTTTCTCCCATATTCTTTTGTAAGTCGGATCTTTACTTTCTTTCTGTTAAATGTTTACGTGTTTTTTTCTTTTCCCTATAGCTGAAAGGGAGCGATCCAATACGGCGTTGAATTACGCGTAATTTGTTTTTTTATCTTTGAAAAATGTTGATCTTTTACTGTTTTCTGTTTTCTTTCAAGATTTGTAGATCCGCGCCTGTAGTTTAAGCATATTTGAATAGAGCTTTTAGATAAAAGAAAGAAAAGAGAGTGTTCTTGGTAGAGGGAAAAGAGGGGTTAAAAATAGGAGATGCGTTCAAAGAAGATTGAAGGACCTTCTTCCCCGGCTACGCGTCGAGACCCTTATGAAGTTTTGTGCGTTTCAAGGGATTCTTCTGATCAGGAGATCAAAACTGCTTATCGAAAGCTCGCTCTCAAGTAAGCATATATTTTGCATTCTTTCTTTAATTCATATCTATGTTTTTGTTGGCAATGCTATAGTTGGTTTAGTATTAGATTGGACTTCGAACTAATCGGTAGCTGATTCTGTCTTCGAATTGCTGACAATGAAAATAGAGGTGACCCTGAGTCTTTACCAAACAGTTTCTGCTGCTGAGCT